GAAATGAAGAAGACCCACCCGATTCGGTGTCCAACCCTAAAGGCAACGACGGAAAGCCAGAGATACTGGGAAGCAAGAAGACAGCTAATGAATTGCTATTAATTAATTGCTATAAATATACCCCCCCCCACCCTTGGGGGAAGCTGAAGTCAAAGTTTAAGGGCTAATGATAAATATCACAAAGCCTGGCATTTGAAATAAATAAATTAATAAATATTTAACCAGATTTGTAGCAATGTGATAATTTTATTATTTTCCATTATCAACTTTGCATGACTTCCAACATGTACTAAAATTTCGAGTCGATGTTTGGTATAAAACTGTGTTAAATTGTTCTGTAATATTGAGTCAGGAAGATAGTTTCAATTTTTTGGGACTAATAAGGCAGTAACATTGTTGACGTTCAATCAACTTGAAGTAAGTGTTTCCATATAAATTTTATTTTACAACATCACTCTATGTGGTTTCAGACAGGGCTTGTCTGACATCCCTGGGGAGAAAGGAATCAGATTCGTTTTGGATTAATTGACGAGGATTACAAACTACATTTGTCCTAGGGAATTGAATAAACGAAAATTCAACGAAGCAGTGTCCAACCTCCTCTGTGTGCCCCACGACGAACAATTGAAATGTCTCAAGTAGTTCATAAGTCTAACATCTATAAAGATCTCTGATGAGGATTATAGATTGATTGTGTTACTTGGATAAAGGAATTTTTTAATAATCTGACTTCAAATTCATTTTGAAAAATTACTAACAGCGCTTTTTGTTCTTTTGTAGTTTGCAGAATTTCTGCTATTTTGATGCTCATAGTAGAATCGTTGCTACAATTCTACAAAAAATCATAATTCCATTTCACGGGACTTAATTGCTAGTTGTCGAAGAATGGGCACTGTCCTAGAGGACACAGCTTTGATCCAACAGAAGATAAATTTAAGACTGGAATGTGCAAAATCGTCTATAGAGAGAGGAACAGGTGGGAAAATATTTCAAGCTGTTAACCCAATCAACTGATCTAATTATAAGAATGATATGACTTAATATTTTTATGTGGCCCCCAACCATATAACATTATTAAGGAAACTATATATCAATTTCCTTGTGAATTTGCATTTTTCTTGAAGAAAAAATGAGGAATAGTTTTGGTGACGTTAGTTAGCCATTGGGAGTGGAGAAGCAAATCATTGAACTCGTTGAGATAAATTATAAAGTTTTTTTCCCCCATTAAATAACAAAGAAGAGCAAAATAATAGCTTTTATCACTTTTGGGCTAAATTGATGCCGACAAAGCAATTAAACATCAAAAATTCCTCTCTCTATACCATTGAAATGGGTTATAGTCAAGTAATTTTAACGTTTTAAGCAAAAATGAAGTCTAAAGTTTGGTGAGGAAGATTCGGTAAATGCTCTGTCCTACCGACCAAATACATACAGTGTCACAGTAACTGATTGAAGACTGATTGTCGATTGATTTAAAAAGTAGATTCTTCAAGGCTATATTAACACAATTGCTCTACTTTAGATGCGTTCAAATCTGAATTAGCAATTAAGCCTCCAAAAAAGCTTGTGCACTTTATCCGTGTACGAAAGAACAATGCAAATGAACATTCTCACTAATTGATTTCAGCCATTAAGTGTTTTACTACTTAAAATTCGTAAGCGAAGGAAGAATATAAGTTCTTATTGTTATGGCTAAAATCTTTTCCAGTTCAATTCGAGCTGATTTCGTATTATTTAAAGTAAACGCCATAAATAATAATAATTAATTGAATAGTAATAATTGGAAGTCAACATTTCAGCCAAGGAAAATAAGCAATATATTAACGCATTTATAGTTTCACCTTGACATCTTCTAGTAGATCTCATTCGAGATCGTTTTCAATTCTTCTGCTGGTTCTTTATAACGTTCTTGGGACTAATCCATTCTTCAGAAACGTGTTTATGTGAGTGGTGCAGTTTTGGCCTGCTTCTCTCCATCAGTGAATCAGTCGTTGATTTTCCTCCAGTCATTGGACGAGAATTCCTCAAGAAGGTCAAAGCACATCTTTCAACATTTTCATTCAGATAATTACTCTTTTCCTAAGACCTGTCTTTTTACCTTTCCATTGATTTGGGACTTTCGTTTCTGGTGCCAAGTCATGGCGTCTTGACAGATTTGACTTTATCTTGCCTCTGATTAAGCCCTCTACCTAGTTTAGCTTGATATGTCGTGACCCAAAAAGCACTAGGGCACGAGAAATAGGATGACATTTCATTGTATCCGAAGGCAAACTTTCCCCATTGCGTTTTGACAGTGTGACTACTCAGTGAAATTCTTGGAGCTTGGCCTTCAAACATTAAATGTCTAAAAGAGTGTAGTCTCAAAAATTGGCCTTTTAGCAGAGTTCTGGTAAAGTTTAAGTCTGTTAAAAATAGACATATTGACACTTTTTGGAAAAATCTTAACAGACTATTGACTCCATATAGACTACGATAATTATTGCTTTTACATTGATTGATAATCGAGTATCTTACTGCAAACAAATAGTGAAACGAAGAGTTTAGTTATGGGTGGTTCCTCACGTGATCGATGAACATTGAATTGGGTTTATGAATTTTCGGCTTAAATCAAAATTATAAAAGTTTTAATAATCGAAAAGAATTTGATGTTGTTTCGAATATTTAATAGTCCTACTATAAAATAGGAATATTATTTTAACTAACTCTGAAATTAGTAGCACTTAACCACAGAGACCTAACCTGAAAGGTCTCCCAAGAGACATGCACTTCTGTGAATTTACTCTAAGGCCAACCTGCTCTGCATACATCACTCAGGTACTAGCATAAGCCAATCAGCAGCGCTGAAAAGAGAAGGCCAAAAGTAAGTATCTGATTGGTTCTGCTCCATTGCTCGTGTTAATCCGACTGCGCCAATCAGAGTGATGAAATAAGTGCTAGTTGGCAATTGCCTAGTATTTCTCCCTATGAGGTGAAAAGCTCCTTAGGAGGGAGTGAAAAGAACGTGGACATTCTAGGACGAGCCATATACAGAGCTCAATTTCATCGAGTTTCGTGAACTCTGCTTCCAGACAATAACAGTAGGTTTATCTGCGTCAGCGTCGGCGCCAGAGCGTATTATGTACTTCTTGTTTTCTCTATTCCATCTCAAAAGCTGACACCTCAACCTCGTAAAAGTTTGGGTAGGGCGTATTATGATATTACTCATTTTACCCTTTTGCACAATTTATTAAGAGCAAAAAAGTTTTTCATTTGCCCTTTTTATGTTACTAGAGGAAGCGCCTAAACTTAAACAAATCATTTAGTTACAACAGAAACTCAGCTATGTCTCCACAAGATAGATTACTTAATGACGAGCTCATATTATTTGTGTACATTCCTCCTCTGTTATGTCTGTAACCTACTGGCAATTCTTTTAATTGCATTTGCTTGTAGGTGTTGCTTACTTCCGGCCCATTCGATAACGATCTTTAGTTTGCACGAATTAAGTGGATAATAAAAGTCACATCTTTTATTGTTTGGGGAGATAGAATTGGCAATAATTAAGGGGAATATGCTAATTCCATTTGGGGAATATATATAGAAAATAGTAGATTTTACGCTGATCTTTATAACTAATGCTCGATATTGTTTGCAATTGATAATACATAGGTTCATTCGATAGATTAAAAGCTATTCAAAGACACTTTGAAAGTAAAGACGGATACAGTGACAATATGTGGACTACTTAAAGGGGTTTCATTTTCATTCGAACTTTTTCCAGGCGGGTTGTTTGAGAAAGTTTACACCTCTCGGCAGAACTGCTGAGATTATCGTTTATATGCAAACGTATTAGCGAAGCAGGGTCTCCGACTGGAAATCAGCCTAGTGCAAATCACTTTCTTCCATCATGAACTCGGTCAGTTAGTGTATGATTTCAACTGTTGTAAAACCTATGAATGATCGACTAGACTTCTCACTTTTGGTCCCTTTACCCACAAGCTTTCTTTTCTCCATTAACTGAGCTTTGATGGTCAGTCATCTTGTAGTTGGTTACATTCAGTGATCGATCTAAATGATGTAATCTTCATTTTCTCACGCACTTCATAGCCAAGTTCCCCTTATTAATCGAGAAATCGAGTGCGTTTAGGATTGTGTGCTAAAATACGCTAATGATAGTCCTTGTTGTTTTAATTCCACTTGTTTCGGTACTTTAAAATAGGTGAAATAAGTAAAGTGGAATAGGAGATTGTAGTTAAAAAAGAACTTTATATAAATTTCCTTGTTCTTGAGAGTTAATCCATGCTTTGCGTAATGAGAACAGTTCACGCATTCATACCTTATTGTTTGAGAATTCATATAACAAAATATAGCCTCACGATTTCTCAATTGAGTTTATGTCCATGACATCCAGAGCACATTGACGGGGCGACCGTATGCTGTCTCAGATCTTTTTGTTTCAGCCACGAGAACGTTGATGATAATAGATAATTATTGTTGGCTTTTATTTATCTATTATAGAATTTCTGTTAGTATATAATTTGCTAAAGATATGCAGAGAAATTTATCAAGTAGGGTTTTAGCATTCAGTCAAATCGGAAACATTTTCAAAGATTTGTGCTGAATGTATATCACCTTGTTTATCCCGACAGACCGTTTTATGAATTTTGGTGGCTACTTTCTTCAACCAACCTCTTCTTAAACAATTTAAAGTTAACAGTCTTCCAAAATTTTGCTTAATGTATTGCTACCGTAATCGGTTTAGTTTGCAATTTATTGTGACATAATTGAATTAATTGAGGAAATATTCTGGATTTATCAATTTTGCAAATAGTTAACCATGAAACTTTTAAAAGGTGAAAATAAGAAGAGGAAAAAGTAAAACAGATAATTAAATTATTAAATCGTAATTTCAACTCCAACATTTATAAGCTGACAATTTTTATTCCTTTATTGTTATTATTACTGTTTCTATCAGTTATGTATTTATTTATTCACTACCGGTGTTTGTTTTTCATTTACAGATTTCTCGCAAGATTGATTTCAACCCGTTTCAATAATTACATTCTTTCTGTTACATCTTCAATGAAGGGATATATTTGTCCCAGTGATCGTCAATTGGCTCTCCGAGCTAGGTAAGGGATCGGTGTTAATCTATATATTTCAACTGAGGCCCAAATACTCACTACTTATCCATGTAATATAATTTAAAGCACAAAGATGACTAAATTAAGGACAAAATAGTAATTCGATTTACATTAGCAAACTGTGAAAATAAACTGGGTTGTATTTGTTGGAAATATAAACAATGCCTGAGGATTTCTTTATATGGACATTTTCAGGTAATATTACATTAAATAGTCTTTTGAGAGATACTAAAACTTGTTATAAAAATACTTTATACTATTTTCTGTGTGGATCATTCGATTCTCGACGATTTCTCGAATTGTATACCAATTACAGAACGTAAATATCGCCCTCAACTTTTCCCTATCTTTATCTATCAAACATTTGGTAAAAAGAACTTTATATTGCATCAAAGAACAGTATTCCCTTTTCATCTTACTGTTAATTTTGTATATATTTGGTGCGGTAGTTAAAGGATTCAAGATGAATTGCTAGATTTTTAATACTGTCGGCATCTCTGATAGATACAAGAAGAGCTATTATTATCATGATCTCGAACACTTTCACCGACTAAGAGGGGATTCTGCATTCTTGGGTATTTCTCGTTCAGTTATAGGTAAGTAAGTTGTATTAATGTCTACATCATGGTAACTGGGGGACTAATTTATAGATTTTATATTACTTCTTGGCATAGTCTTGCCATACCCACCCCAGTTTATTACCAAACAAAAACAATAAACAATATTGAGATCAAAACAAAATAGGCTCACAAAGAGTCCGTGTGCCTCTAAAATGAAGAGAAGGAGGAAGGAGGCAAAGCTTAACAAACTGTTTCCATGAATCTCTTACTAATAGGAATCTACTTCTCCGCTTTAAATTAATTTTTTTGTTATAGCTTCACGAATGCAACTAGAAATACAGTTTAGACACTATTGGTGGCCACTTAACTTAAAAGTCAAATTATAAGTTTAAACTATTTAAGCATCATTATCGCGCCTAAACAACTTGCTCAAATACCCAAGAAAAATTTTATAGATAACAAAATTGAATGAATGACTGAAAGATTTTAGCGTATCAACTGACGGCTTAAAACGTCATTTTCCCTCCTCTTAATCTAACGCCAAGAATTTATATGAACCAATCGTTCAAACCTCAGAAATATGTCATATCACTTTCTAAGGAGAATAAAAGAAGAAAGCAGGGAAACCCCTTTCAAATAGCTGTCCAAAATGTACACACTTTACTGCTTAATTACGTTGTTCTATTAGAGGCATTTTTGAGGAATAATTAAATATTTATGTAAAGATGAAGAGTGCTATAATATTGTAGTACTTTACCTTCGGAACTGTATATGAATATTTGTAGATTGGGGACTGGTTGGTCGACAGTTGCGCTGGCCAACCAAAGGCGGGTAAATACGCGCCTTTCGAATGAAGAACTGGACCACATCTACAGAGTTCTTCAACGTAATGATTCCATCAATGAGAAAGAAAACCGAAGGGTCAAGTAAGTAGTCCAACTTACATACGCTTACTTGGAACAAACTGTATAAATATATCACCTATGATTAATAGATCGATGCTTCAGCGACTAGAAAACATGAAAATGTCCACGGTTCCACAAACCAAAACAACTTGTAGTCTATGTGGTCACGAATTTGGACTCCTTCTCAAGTCTTCCGCACATTGTGCCGATTGTGGACGTCTCGTCTGTTTGCGTTGTTCGATGGAATTTGTAGAAGTTAGTGAGAAATCCAAACAGATCCAGGACCCAGCGGATATTTCGCCTTCACGTTATCTCCCACCTGGTTCCACCACAGCTGCTTCTGCTGCAGAAAAAAGAAATTTTTCAAGAACTGTTCCAAAATTTTGGGGATCACAACAAATGTCGGAGCAAAGAGACAACATCAACGATGAATCTGGGTCACTAGACCAATCTGCCTTCAATGGATCTACTAGAGGTCGGTCGAAGCATAAGTCGTTCTCCCTGGAACGAAGGCAATCTCTCTCTCGGATCTCAAACTTATTCACCATTCCAAGATCTCTGACTCCCAGTACCACAATCACTCCGACCAGTAATCGCTACCACCTCTGCAAACTCTGTTGTGAGGCACGCGAGGTAAGTACAATTTCAATTTTGGTATTTAATGAAAGGCACACACATTATAGAACGATTTTTCAGCTTGTGTAATGGAATCAACTATAACCAGCAACGGAAGACTATAGTAAGAGTGCTTTAATTATTTGCTCTCTTAATTTGGTGAATTACTCCGTAAAACAACCATTATCTACCATCATCAACAGAACTGGGAAGAAATCTACCATTCTAAAAACAAAAATGAATGTTTCCAGGATTCTTACTCTCGTCTACCATTTCGTTGAAAGTTTTCGACGGTATATATTGTATATACTATATTTGTATACATATGATTTGTCGCCTTTGCATAAGAAAAATAGCTGTTAACTTTCATATGGCGTCAAAAGTAACCAATTTATTCAAGATTTGAATGCCTAAAGATCTTTCGAGGAGGTAATTTTCAAAGTGAAGGCATAGTTAAAATTGAATAATTGTAGCCAAAAAATGTGTTAATTGTTGGTTTAGAATCCTATTCCATAATAATTGCATTCAATGCCTCGGAGACTAGGTTTTATTGAAGGAACAGTATTATATTTTGAAAGGGTTTAGTTGAAGTGAGTCAATGACAGGAGGCATAAAAATTTGGTAAACTTGACATTTAGGAACTTATCAACTCAAACGATCTTCATTTCTCTACGAAAACAAGTCGAATCAAACCGTATTTAATTAAGTTTATAAGGAAAAAGTTGCGAAACTACTTGCGTGTTGGAAAATTAAGTTGAGGAAGGTAATTGGTGCCCGTTAATAAATAACGTAATGTAGAGCACAGATGTTTTATCAGCTCCATTAACTTTTCACTCTGTTTCATTGCAATAATGAAAAAAGCAAATTAAATCACAGCAAAAGTGAGTGAATTTGGAGCTAATTACTTAGCCAGACTGTGCAGCAATACTACCAGCGCATCAAAAGCATGAATATTTTTTAAGTTTTAGTCTTCATGAATTTCTATTTCTAAGTTTGTTCACGCATATTTGATGCATAAATTACAATAAAATTACCTTATGATTTCATTTCTAAGAAAATATGCCTTTGTATATATCAAGGCTATTTTCCGAAGCTTTATCACACACACACACACACACACACACACACACACACACACACACACACACACACACACACA